TTACTCAGCCATAAAGAAGAATGAAATTATGGCATTTGCCAGTAAATGGATAAAACTGGAGACAATCATGCTAAGTGAAATAGGCTAGACACAGAAAGTTAAAGGTCAAAGGTTTTCTCTGATCTGTGGAAATTGGACCAAAATAAGGGGTGGAGGGAAAGGAAAAAGAAAATGTGGAGGGGGTATTCCATGAAAAGAAGAAAGAGGTCAGTGGATTAGAAGAAGGGATTAAGGGGAAGGAGGAGGAATGGAAAAAGGAAAGAAGTCTGGAATGAATCTGACCTCACTTTTCCATGTCCATATATGAATATACCACAGCGAATCTCACCTTCAGGTTTTCCACAAAGCGCTTGCTTCAGTCAGCTTTTTCACTATGGTGACTTAAAGACCCAACCAGAACAACTTCACAGAAGGAAAAGTTTATCTGAGTGCTCAAGAGATTTTCAGAGGTCTTAATCCACAGAAGGCTGGCTCTATTCCTCAGCGCTCAAGGTGAGACAGGACATGATGGTGGAAGAGTGTGGCAGAGGGAAGCAGCTCACATCATGGTGATCAGGAAGCAGAGAGAGACTCCACTTGCCTGATACAAATATATACCCCCAAAGCCATGCCCCCAATTCCCACCTCCTCCAGCCACACCCCACCACTTCAGTTACCACAGTTAATCTCCTGTGCATTCACATGAGCTTTTAGAGGACACCTCACATCTAAACCACAATAGCACTAATTTTTTTTAAAACTATAAATAAATAGAATAAATATCAGTAGAGTAGAGGTAAGGAAACAGTGGGAGAAAGGAGAGGAGAGAGAGGAGAAGGACTGGACACTGGATTAGAGCAAATTATATTCCATGCTTGCATAATCATATCCAAATGCACCCTAGTATTATGTATAACTAAAATGAACTAATAGAAAGTTGCATGATATGAAATCAAAACCTAAAATCAGTTGCATTTCTAAATACTAACAATGTAAAATTCACTGTGTTATATAAGAAAACAACTACTTACCATAGCAACAAAAAATACTTAAATGATGCAAAGGACTCATATAGTGAAATGTATAAACCTTGCTTAAAGAAAACACACATAAATGAAAATATAGCCATTCAATGCATCCCTAACAAAATCTCAACCACATTTTTTGCCAAAATAGAAAAAATACCCTAAAATTTATATGAAATCTCAAGGAATCCCTAATAGCCAAAACAGGTTTGGAAAAAAAACAATGTTGAAGGTCTCACACATTCCAATTTCAAACTTATGAAAGAGTGTGGTACTGATATAAAGACAAATAGACAGATGAGGTAGAATTGAGAACCTGGGAACAATCCCACAAATGTTTTTTGGTGGGGAGGGGACACCAGGGATGGAACCCAGCACACTCCAACCACTGAGCCACATCCCCAGCCCTTTTTATATTTTGAGACAGGGTTTTTCCATGTTTCTTAGGGCCTCACTAAGTTGCTGAGGCTGGCTCTGAACTTTTGATCCTCCTGCCTCAGCCTCCCGAGCCCCTGGGATTACAGGTGTGTGCCACTGTGCCCAGCTCCAAGTATAATTTTCAAAAAGAACATAAAGAGCATTCAATAGAAAAAAACACAACTTTTCAACAAATGGTGCTGGGGAAATTGGATCTCTACATGAAAAAGAATGAATCTGTGCCCAGTGCCCTGGTTTGGATCTTGAATATCCTCCAATAGCTTCCAAGGTGTGTGTGGAAGACTTGGTCCCCAGGATGACACTATTGCAGGCATGCCCTTGAAGGGGATTGTGGGATCATTGCTTTTTTTAATGAGAAAGGCAATCAGTTCTCCCCTCCACTGCTTTGGGATGAGTAGACTCCCCAGACACGCACCAGAGGCTCAGAAGCACAGGTACACACAGGAAGATTCGCAATCATATTGAGTGTATGCTCTTTATTCTCTGACATCATCTTCCCATCAAAGCAATTCTTCAGTGTACTGGCATTTGCAATATGATAGATTGCTGTATTAATCATCTTTTCATCACCATTACAAAGTATCTGATGCAGGATACTTATGAAGTAAAGAGGATTTTTAATTCACAGTTTGGGAGATTCAAAGTCCAAATGGCATAAATAACCTCAGCTCTGTGGTGAGGGCCATCCCTTAGCTATATCACTTCATGACAGACAGCAATGGCAGGAACACACATAGGAGCCACAAGATTATATCTGGGAAGGTTTGGTTCTTTTATGTCAATCCTTTCACTAGAACTCAAGGTGTTGCAAGAAAACTTCCAGGAGCACACCCCCAATGACTTAAGGACCTCCCACTAGGCCCCACCTTCCAACAGAGCCACTTGAGAAATCAAGCCACAAATCAAAATGGACGCTTGAGGGGCAGTCCAAACATATCCAAACCATAGCAGTTATCGTGGTATTTTGCTACTACATTAGCATGTTGATCAGGGGTGATCATGATAATATTCATATCCACAACTGGTTATGAAAATGTCACAACCCTGACCACAAAGGTAAAAATGACAGTGCTTTAGAGCACACTTATCAAAACATATTCATTCATATCAAAATATATTGATTTGAGCATGTCGGGAAAGGTCATGACATGCTCAAAACTTCCTTAATGAGTTTTCAGAATTCCAGGAAAAAAAAACAAAACAAAACATGTCTCCAGCTGCCTTCCTCTGCAGGAGGCAGAAACAAGATTTGACAAAGCAGCTGCATGTGTGCAAGAGACAGGTGCTCTCTATCTACTGTGGGACTCCTTTTTCATGACAGACAGCAATGGCGGGAACACACATAGGAGCCATAAGATTATATCTGGGAACAGGTTACATGTTTTTTACATGTTTTTGGTCATACAGTGGGACAAGATCTAAGTCAAAGTTTCATCTTCCAGGAGGTATGTGCCTGGAAGTGCCTAGATCTATGGAAGGAGGATATATGTTTGTGGGCAATATGGTAAGTCTGAAATTAATGAAGACATAGATTTCCTTCCCTATCTTGAGGGCTCTGACTGAGGATCAGCTGACATGGAAACCTAAGGCGTAGATTGACAAAAAAATCTGACCTAGGGGGAAAAAAAGAACCCTAAATGATACACAAGTGAGGCAGCATATCAGAATACTGTGTATCAAGATTCCACTTTGGGGGTCTGGCTGATTACTACTGGCCTTTGGCACTTACTAACTTCTATATGGTCATGCTCCAATCACCTAACTCCTTGAGCCTATTTCTCCATTTATGTAATGAGGATTATTTAACATACATGCTCAATCTTGTTCTGGGGAGTCAGCAAGATAATGCACAGTGTTGCCTTCTATCCTAGCTGGCGACCTAATGCTGGGTTCCCAAAATCTGACTATTCCAATAACTTAAGAAAACGGCGAAGAAATCACACAAACACACAGAAGTAACTTTTCAAAATCTGGGATGGCTCTCTGACCTTAGGGATCCATGGAAAAAGAGAGAGAGCCACTGGAATTCTTTATTCTTATATAGGGGACATGTGGAGAGCCATTCTCACGCGTGACTGGGCGACTCCCAGTTTGGGTCTGAGGCGTTCTGGCTATGTCGGAACTTTCCCCGCCCTCTCCTGATGAGAGAACCCGTCCGTGTGGGGGTGTGACTGACCACTGACCCCGGGGGCCCAATCACTGACCCTGACCTTGGAGTGCGGTCCCCCCATCAACCTTCATTGGATGGAATTCTCCCCTGAATTTCTTGTTCCCCAATAAAAGTCTACTCCCTGGCGTGCTCGCTCGCTCTCTCTCCTGCTAGCCCTGAGTAATCCTTGCTGCCCTACGGGTGGTTCGAGGTTGGAGCCAGAGAGGGGAGCCGTCTCGGACCTGGTCATAGAAAAAGGTAACTGAGTCTGTGTGTTTTATTTCGATCTCTGCTAGCTAACTTTTATGCCAAGAACTTCATTAATGAAACCAATGCGCAGGCCGCATGGTGGAGGGACATACAAGGGGAGGTTCCAGGGAACATTGTATCCCCAAAAGGGGAAAAGGATAGGATTACAAAGGAACAGGTGAGTGTAACTCAACCCCACTGGGTATCACCTACTCCTGGAGCCACGCCCCATTATCCCAGGGTAGTAAAGCCCAAGTTATTTAGGAACACAGTAATTGTTCAGTATCTCTTGCTTAGGACTTAAGGGCATGCGTGTATTTGCAGAGCAGAGTAAGTTTATCCACATAATTCTAAGCACAATGCAAGTCCTAGTAAGTAAATTCCCAGTGAAATTTTGTATAACCAATAGGGGAATAAAGAAAAGTAATCCTAGATCTAAAGCCATGGTCTCTTCTACCATGGCTCCCAGATCAGGCTTCTTACATGATGGACTATGTCAGCCTGGATGTAAACTGAAGACAGTCTGCCCTTGACCTTATAGGATTTCCAAAAATCTTAGTGCTAATGGAAACATTTCAAAGCTAGTTTCAAGGACAGGCCAGAGCACGTGCCCTCTGACTAGTTGATGAGGCCCTTTTCTGCTTTTATCACAATCTGCCTTTCATCTGCTCAGCAGCCTCTCATCCTGTTTCAGGAGCCCTGGCTTCTCTCCTACATTTTGGCCCAGAAGTTCTATTTGCAGGTGAACTGAGTCCTCAGCCTGGTTTTTGGAAATGACCTCAAACCAGACCTGAATCTACCAGTGTTCTGACAGCCCTACTGGGAGACACTGGCCAGACTGCTGTCAGGTGCCCCTTGCACTATGGTAGTCTCAGGGGGGCATGGGTGTCTTGTGATCCACATATTCTGCCTCATCTCACCCAAGATGCAGCTGTGAGCAGATGGTCAAGAAGAAGCAGGTGGCTAACAGCATCTGAGAAATCCAGGCTGCAACAGTCAGAAGTGGGGTCATGGCCAAGCTGCAGAGGATACTACACTGGCTGTGCTGCTTAGTGCATCTGGTGTTTCTTCTCCTAATATCTCTTGCCTTGGACTTCTTTGGTTATGGTTACTTGAACCCAAAGAGCCAGAACCTTAAAAGCATGCAAACTGAGGTAAGCATGGTTGTTAGAGAATGTCATGATCCACGAGTCATAAAATTACCAAGAGTGGTATCTCCACAGCCAAATGTGCTAAGACCCTCTAGGACAGATGTCCATGTTTTGACTTCTTGGTTTGCCCCCATTGTGTGGGAGGGAACTTTCAACAATGACATACTGAATGAGCAATTCCAACACCAGAATGCTACCATTGGGTTAACTGTGTTTGCAATAAAATAGAGAGAGAGAGAGAGAATGAGAGAGAGAGAGAGAGAGAGAGAGAGAGAGAGAGAGAGAGAGACTATTTGAAGGTGTTCCTGCAGACTGCAGAGATACACTTCATGGTGGGGCACAGGGTGAGCTACTATGTCTTCACTGGTCAATCCAACAATGTTCCTCAAATCCTGCTCCAAGAAGAAAGGCAGATGGTCATCCTCAAAGTCCACAGCTATGCCCACTGGCAGGACTTCTTCATGCACTGAATGGAAATGATCAGTAATTATTCTCAGGAGCGCTTCCACAGGGAGGTGGATTATCTTGTCTGTGCAGATGTGGACATGAAATTCAGGGACCTTGTGGGTGTGGAGATGCTCTCCTCCTTGTTTGGCCCTCTTCATCCTAGCTACTTCCCCATCCAGAGGCAGTTTTTTGACTATGAACACAACCCCCAGTCACAAGCCTGTATTCTAGAGGATGAAGGGGACTTGTATTACACAGGGGCCTTTCTGGGGGGCTCTGTGCCAGAGGTTTATAGGCTCACCAAAGCCTGTTACCAGGCCACAATGATGGATTAAGCCAATCACATCGAGGCCATAAGGCATGATGAGAGCCACTTGAACAAGTACCTACTTCACCACAAACCCACCAAAGTCCTCTCCCCAGAGAACATGTGTGTGAAAGCAGAGGAAAGTGTATTGTTTCAGAACAAGCCGGGCTTGTCCACCATCATAAAACGGGCAAGATTTGTGGTCTTGGAAAAGAATTACCATTTTATGAGGGCTCATGAGAGAAGTGTCCAGAAAGGTTCAGAGAAGGGTAACGTGGTCAGCCCTAGTCTTCCTCCTAGTATGCTATCCTAATTTGAAATCAGTTTTATGTAACAATTGTAAGTCCACCTCTTCTATCTGTATGGATGAGGAAAATTGCCAATGCCTCCCAATTTAGTCATATAAAGCACCATAGATCTCTGGCCTGTCATCCCTCACACACATTTAGGGAGGTCACATTCCACAGTTTAGGCACAAATTCATGAGTTTCCACCACCCAAAGATGGATGAAAAGAGTGAACTGAGCCTGGCTTTGAACTTGCCATCCTTCCTGCCTCAGCCTCTGGAACCACTGAGATCACAGCCAGCCATGCACCACCACGCCTGGCCTACAAGGTTTTCTTTCAAAGAAAGAGGCCTAACAACCTCCAAAACTTGTCCCATAGCCCAGGGCCTGCACTCCCTCTCCTTTTGGGTTTGCACCCTGCTCTATTGTTTGGTTTCCTGAATAAGAAGTCTCTACTCTTTTTGCATGGAGATTCATCTCTAATTTGTGTTTACCTTTGATACCCCCTAATCTTCGGGTACAATCTTAAAACACCTGGCCCATACCCAGATGCAGCCAGGATGCCGGACTCCATGGCAGGACTGGAACTGAATGTGACATCAATAGGCTGGAACCAAGACTGACCTGAGACACAGGAAGGTGCATCAGCTGACCTCCGACAAACACTCAGACCTCATTCCTCACCTCTTTGTTACTGATTCCGTGGTTTCTTGTGCTATCAGAAGAGTCAAACAGAGGCAGAGCAGCACAGGAACAAGGCTTTTTATCCTTAACTTGAGCACAAGGGAAACAGCACAGGGAAGACAGAAATCCCAGACTGACTCAAACAAATGGGAAAGATGCAACAAGCTTTGATGCCATGTCCAGGATCCACAGGGACCCTGTCTTCTTGATGTCATCACGTGTAGAGGTGAGTTTCAGTTGCACCTGTGCTTTTCCTCATCATGTCTCTCATGCAAACTGTGTCTCGTTATCATGTTTGGTCTCCACCCTGAGGTGTGAGTTTTTTACCATGCTAACAAGGCAGAGGTTACTGTAGGGTATTTTAGTGACTAGCCTATGCATGCGCTTGCCCATTACCCACTGGAATTTGCTTCCTATCATCTGAGAAAGTCCCTAATTTGGTTTTGGAGGAGGATAGGTCACTGTTCTCAGTGGATTTGATTTTAATGATCTTGTTTTTCTGGGCTTTGACTTCCATTATCTCTGCTGACCACATGGTTTTTGAACATTGAGCTGATTTCCCAACCTCCTGTCGCCTAGTGTATTATCTTAATTTTACAGCCAAACACAGTGGCACAAGATAAACATTCCTGTTACAAAAGGAAGGAAAAAGAGAATACCAAGGAAGGACTGGACCAAAGCAAGACCAAAACTCAGCAGGGCAAACATTAAATCCTACAGCTCTATGTCTGGCATCCGGGCACATGGTGGCATGATGTGAGCTCCAGAGTGCTTGGACAGCACTGCTGAAAACTTGCCCACTGAAGCCCACGTGGCCATTGTCTTGGGTTGGCTTTGCTCATTGCCTGCAGTTTTCCTTGGCAGGCATTCCACACTCCTGCCATCTTTAACTTCCTGAGGTCTCCATTGCAGTTTTGGCATCACTCAGAGTTTCATGCATTGGCCCTTCAGGGACTTATGACAAGGCCTGAGAAATTCAGCTTAAAGGAAGAAAGATTTATTTTGTCCCATAGTTTCAGAGGTTTCAGTCCACAGTTGACTGGCTCCATTGCTTTTGGTCTGAGATGAGGAAGAACATCATGGTGGAAGAAGCTTGTGGCAGAGGAGGTTGTTCACCTCCCAGCAGCCAGGAAGCAAAGAAAGACAGAAGGGATGGAGGGAAGGAGCAGGGACAAAATATGCCCTTCAATGGCACACCTACAGTGACCTACCTCTTCCAACTAGGCCCCACTTTTTAAAGTTTCCACCACCTCCCAATAGTACCATTATCTAGAAACCAAACAGTCAACACATGAGCCTTTGAGAGACATTTCAGATCCAAACTCTAACAACTTTCCTTTTGTCTCTAACCTTTTAATTAATTTACTTATTTATTGCATACATGACAATAGTGGAATGCATTACATTCTAGGAGAAAAACAATAACACAACGGTCACACAAAGCTGGAAGGAAACATGAGCAACATGAAAAGACAAGGAAAGAAAGGACCACAAACAATGAAAGACAATACAATATCTACAGCAGAAAAAAAGTCAGATAAAGATTTCAGGATATACATGGTTTAGATGTTCTGGAGCCTCAAGGAAGATATTAGACAACAAATGCAGACAATGAAAGATCACTTTGACAATGAATTACATAAACAAATCCACGAAGAAAAGATCAACTCTACAGGGAGATAGAGGTGATACAAAAAAAAAAAAAACAGAAATCCTAAAAATGAAAGAAATGATAAGCCAAATTAAAAAAAACTCAAATGAGAGTATCAAAAGCAGAGTAGACCACTTAGAAGATAGAACATCAGACAACGAAGACAAAGTATATCATCTCAAAAAGAATGTAGATAGCACAGCGAGTCTGATAAGAAACCATGAGCAGAACATCCAATAAATATGGGATAGCATAAAGAGAGACCAAATTTAAGAGCTATTGGGATAGAGGAAGGTATAGAGGTCTAAATCAAAGAAATGAGCAATCTGTTCAATTAAATAATATTAGAAAACTTTCCAGACATGAAGAATGAAATGGAAATCCAAATCCCAGAAGCCTATAGGATGCCGAATGTGCAAAATCACCAAGACACATTATAATGAAAATGCTCAACATACAGAACAAGGAGAGAATTTTAAAAGCCACAAGAGAAAGGAAGAAGATTACATTTAGGTGTAAACCAATTAGTTAATGGCTGATCTTTCAACACAGACTTTGAAAGATAGAAGATCCTGGAACAACATATTTCAAATGCTGAAAGATAATGGGTTCCAACCAAGAATCTTATATCCAGCAAAATTAAGCTTCAGGTTTGAAGATGAAATAAAAACCTTCCACGATAAATAAAAGTTAAAAGAATTTGCAGCTAGAAAACCGGCACTTCAAAATATCCTTGGCAAAACATTTCATGAAGAGGAAATGAAAAATAACAATGAAAACCAATAGTGGGAGGTAGTACACTAAAGGAAAAACTAATCAAAGAGGAAAATCAGGTCAAGTTAAATAACAAAAATAAACAAATATGGCTGGAAATACAAGCCATATCTCAATAGTAACCCTAAATGTTAATGGCTTAAACTCACCAATCAAAAGACATAGACTAGTAGACTGGATTTAAAAAACAGATCCAACAATATGCTGCCTACAGGAGACTCATCTGATAGGAAAAGACATACACAGACTGAAGGTGAAATGTTGGGAAAAGTCATACCACTCACATGGACCTTGGAAGCAAGCAGGGGTATCCATACTCATATAAAATAAAGTAGACTTCAAGCCAAAGTTAATCAAAAGGGATAAAGAAAGATACCACATACTGCTCAAGGGAACCATACACCAACAAGACATAACAATTATTAATATATATGTCTCAAACCTTTATCTCAGGGTTTATGTACTCCCTTTGCACACATGCTCTAACTGTGAACACTTCAACTACTGTCCCATCCTTAGATAGCTTCTGGGAAGTCATTCTGTTATGAGGAGACACCTCAGAAAGCACTCCAAGTCTGAATTCAAATCAAAAGATAGCTTTATTTACCTGGCCAGGGACTGTGACCCAACACAGAGACTCAAGCTCTGTGGGAGGAGAGCAGCTTCCTGGTCTATCCAAAAAGAATATAAGCACAAAACCCAAAACTCAGTGACTTGCTTATCATCATGTAAGCTAGCCAATCATAGAAATCAAAACATTAATAAGTGGGTCCTGTGGGCTCTAGGCAGGACTGGAATTTTCCAGTCAGCAAGCAAGTGATAAACAGAAGCCAAAAAAAAAAAAAAAAACATTAGCTTTGCAGTTCAGTTGACCACAGTCCTGGGTTCAAGCAGGTGCTAGACAGTCACATCCTGAATTTGGGTGGGGGTCGGCAGGGCGAGAATCTACTTTAAAGTCATGTAGCCCCACAAAGGCATTCACACCCAGGATATAGCTCACTACCACCACCGCTGCATCCTGAGTAGGGTACAATTTGTGGGGCACAAAGTGCAAAAAGACAATTTTTATAAGAAAACAGTTTTCATTTCAGTTTCTCAGAAACAGCTCTTTATAGAAGTTTTTATAGAAGACACCAAAATGGAGTCTTAGGCCTGATTATGACAGTTCTTGCTTTATAATTGTCTTATATCACTTATCAAAATCTTATATCTATAATCTATATTTTTTATAATCTATAACCTATAACTTATACTTTTATTGATTGTATTTATCAGTTCACACCACAACAACTCAGTTTGATTTAGGTGTCACACTTCCAAAAGGAATTGAATCTTTCAGCATAAGAAGAAAAAAATTACTACATAGATAAAATAGTGTTGTTCACTGGGTCAGACACAAATATTCTGAATGTCAGATACAAATAAGCTGAGTGTCACCCTGTCACTTGCTTCAGGGCAACCCAACATCCCTCTTCTGTCTTCTCTGTCATGGGTCTTTCTGGAGGTTTTTCCTCTCATCCCTGACCCAACATACAGAAATTCACTGTTCAGCCTACAATAATTTGAAAAGCAAGAAGTTAATGTTTATCAGTTTCCAGCTATAAGCAGGCACACTTTCTGTGTCAGTGATACAATAAAATAATCACTCCATTTGGATTTTTATGAATGATCATCCCATTTGGGTTTTTAGCCTTTGGGAGCAACAAAAATAATGTTTAGTCTGCGAGCATGCTGATCTTGATCAAGTCTGAACTCGTGTTCAACACTTTCGGTGATCAACACTGTCCAGAAATCCGGTTCCTTCAGGTCTCTAGGGTGCAGTACCCCTTCACCACCTGTAGGTGTAGTCCTGGGAATTACATGGCTCTTACCCAGAATGCTCTGCCCTGGGAGTGAAGTAGCGTTCATCCAATGAAA